GTCCCATGTTGTGCTATCCTTGCTCTTCTAGGTAGTGTAGATTGATAATTTGGACAGCACCAATGAAGAAACCTTGACAAATGGCTGTAGTGTAGCATGTAGTTGGCACACCCTATTCCTGCAGTGCGTCAATGGTGGATGGAATGGATATTGATGGTGGATGGAAGGGTTTGCCAGTCAAACTCACTGCTTAGTCCCAGATGATGATTTTGGGAGATCAGGACTGACATTTGACTGCGTTCAGAAATGACCGGGCAATCACTTGGTTGTATTGAATCCTATTGGTGGTTCAAAAAGCCAACACCAATTTGAGCACAATAGTGACAAGAAATAAGTACTGATCTTGCCAACAAACACTCCTACTTCAAGAAATAATACTTAAAGATCACAGTGATGCTATCATGAACTTGTGAGAGCCAGGAATCAAATCCAAGTCAACTGCTTGGAAAGCAGTTATGTTCACCACTATATCACCATCGCTTTGCACAGTGATGTTATTATGAAGCAGTTTTCAATAAATATCACCTGCTCCTATGATCCCTTAGGCTAGCTGGAAAGAATTTCATGCTTCATACAAACAGCCTAGAAATAGGGAGTTACACGTCTCCATTTAATGGCCCTCAGGACAGAAACGAAAGAGACTGGCCTCTTCAAGCACAAGGCACTATGAGAAGATATAATCATTTGAGGCCTGAACCATCCCCACCTACTACCTATGAAGGTCATTTATAATTTTGCTTGTGTTAGTAATATTAATACTGTCTTTCCCATTGTGAAGGCCAATATTCGACTTTGCAGAATCAAAGCTAGAACGGAATCAAGACTATTGGAATTAGCTGATTTCTGCCAGTGCATTTACCCATTGTTGGGTGGAGGAGAATTGAAAACATAAACCAGATAACCAGGATGATGGTGTGCATGACTATCTAATCTGAGTACTCAAGGTGGCTCAGTGGTTAGCACTGCTGCCTCACAGCGCCAGGAACACGGATTTGATTCCATCTTCGGGCAATTGTCTGTGTAGAATTTGCATGTTCTCCCCATGTATGCATGGATTTCCTCTGGGTGCTCTGGTTTCCTCCCACAGTCCAAAGATGTGTGTGCAGGATAGGTGGATTTGCTATACTAAATTGCCCGTAGTGTTCAGGGATGTGTAGATTAGATGGGTTATAGGGGAATGGGTCTGGGTGGGATGCTCTGAGGTCGGTGTGGACTTGCTGGGCCAAAGAGCCTGTTTCCACACTGTAGGGATTGTACGATGATGAAGAAATTGTCTCAGGGCAAATGGCATTTTAATCTCGTCTTTTTAAACCTAATATGCAATATGAACATGAACACAATCTTGAAATGGCCTTAAATAAACAGTTCACGTGGTTTAATATGTGCTTTTTCAACATTATGTTAAAAGATAATTCATTTTATGATAGGATACAGAGTAAATGCCATTCTATCCAAGTATCACTTGAGTGTTTTTATTCACCAATATCACACAACTGCTCTCCTTATTCTCCTTCTGATGAAAAGACACTACAGTATATTGCCTCAGCCATGTAGGTGTGTGTGGACATATAGACAGACATGTCTACACCAAAGATTAACAACATTAAGGCTAATTTCCAGCTCATGGCCATATACATGGAGGCTATCAATGTAAGCAAATAGCTAAAATTGCTGAAATGTTGAGTTTCTGACTCAATTACACTTCCAGGCACAGATTTCCAGATTCCCACCACCTTGAGTGAAAATAATTCACCTCTACTTTCCTCTTAGACTTCTATCACTGACCTTAAATCTGTGTTTCCTGGTTATTGACCACTCCAACAATGGAAATGTATCTTCCTTTCCACCTAGTCCATGCCCTTGCCAATGTTTAATCTTATACCTCTCCATCAGGTTCCCTCTCAATTTTCGTTGCTCCAAGGAAAGCAACCTCAGCCTATCCAATTTTTCATCATAGCTCCAGCCCAGGCAGCATCCTTGTAAATTTTCTCTGCACTCTCCCCAGTACAATCACACCCTTCCAACAATGGGATGACCAGAACTGCATTCCATTATCCAACTGTGGCCTAATCAGGATGTGGGGAAGAAAAGAAATCGGGATTTACAAAAGGAATATAAGCAAGGCTCTATCACAATAATCACGGGGACCTTCAATATGCAAGTGACTGAGTAAATCAGGTTGGTAGCAGATCCCAAGAAAAGGAATTCATGGAATGTCTATGAGATGGCTTTTTGGAGTAGCTTATGGTAGAGGGAAAATCATTGATGAAGCAGCTAAAGATGGTTGGACCTAGGACACTGCCCTGAGGAACAGTTACAGTGAAGTCCTGGGACTGAGTTGACTGATCTCCAACCACCACAACCATCTTCCTAGGTGCCCAGTATAACTCCAACCAGTAGAGAGTTTACCCACTGATACCCATTGATTCCAGTTTTGCTTGGGACCTTGATGCCACACTCATTGAAGCTAGCTTTGATGTCAAGGGCTATCACTCTCACCTCACCTCTAGAATATACCTTTTTGAAGCAAGGCTGTAATGAGGTCAGGAACATAGTAGCTCTAGCAGAGCCCAAACTGGGCATCACTGAGCAGGTTAATGCTGAGCAGATATTGCTTGAGAGCACTATTGATGACACCTTCCATCACTTTATCAATGATCAAGAGTAATGGAACGGGTGGTAATTAGCTGGGTTGGATTTGTCCTGCTGTGTGTGTACAGGACATACCTGAGCAATTATCCATATTGTCAGGTACATGCCAGTGTTCTAACTGTATTGGAACAACTTAGCTTGGGGAGCACAAGATCTAAATCACAAGTCTTCAGTACTATTGCCAGAATGTTAGGCCCATAGCTGTTGAGGCATGCAGTGCCTTCAAACGTTTCTTGATATCACGTGGAGTGAATGGAATTGGCTGAAGACTGACACCTGCAATGGTGGGGACCACTGGAGGAGACCAAGATTGATCATTCAGTCAGCATTTCTGGTTGAAGGTTACTGCGAATGCTTCAGCCTTATCTTTTGTACTGACGTGCTTGCTAGGCCATATCAGAGAGAAGTTGAGATTTGACCACGTGGCTGTGGGTCTGGAGTTATGTGCAGGCCAGACCAGGTGAGGATGGCAGATTTCCTTCCTTGAAGGACATTAGCGAGCCAGGTGGGTTTTTCCAACTGTAGGTTTATGGTCTTCAGTAAATTATTATTTGTTGGGTCCTCAGAACATTAGCTAAGTTTCTGTATTAATAGTCTAGCAATAACAGTAGGCCATTGCCTTCCCCATAGTATGGTACCATTTACAAAAGATGCTGGAAGCACTTCTACACTCAGAGAATGTTAGGTATTTGTAATTTTTCCACAAATGGCAGTTGATGCTAGATCAGCTGTTAATTTTAAAACTGAGATGAACAATTTTTTTGTTAAAGATCAGTCACAATCTCATTCAATGGTGGGATAGTCTCAAATGGGCTGAATGACCTACTTCTGTTCCTATGTTCCAAGTCCCATTCTTTGTTTTCATGAGACCTAATCTGCCATGTAGTGACAATGTTTCCTCCTTTATTGCCTCCCATTATTCTGGCAAAGTTTTATTTGCAAGTAGCTGGTCCTAGTTCACTGGGGCCAAACATTACCTTGGGAAATGTTGATTTTACTCAGTTTAGAACTTTCACTCCCAACCCATCCTCATTGATAATGATACTAAATCTGAGTTATGGTCACCATCTCCAAGCGGCTCACCTGCTGATATGCCCTCCAGCTGCTTGGTCTCATTTCCAAATATTAGGTCCAGAACCACACCCATGGCTTGTTCGGCTTTCTACGTACTGGCTTAAAAAAGCTCTCCTGGATACAATTTAAGAACTTTATTCATTTCCTACATTGTACACAAATTGTCCCAATTAATATGTGGGTAGTTAATAGCCACCCACAATTTCTACTTTATTATTCTTATACTTACCTGAAATTTGATTACATATTTCATCCTCTCTGTCTTTGACTGTTTGGGGCATATGGTACACACCCAACAGCATGTTCACCCCTTTTATATTTTCTATTTCTACCCATATGACCTCATTTGATAATCCTTCCAAAATATCATGCTTTAATGATTACCTTGATCAATAGCATGACCCCCTCCCCTTCTATTCACTCCTCTATATCATCTGAATACCCAATAACTGGGAATGTTGAGCTGTCAATCATACCCATCTTTCAGTCAAGTATCAAGAAGGTGGTCTTATGAGGAGAGATTGAATAGATTGGGACTGTACTCATTGAAATTTAGAAGAATGTGGAGAGGGGGGAATCTTACAGAAACATATAAAACTATAAAAGGAATAGATAGGATAGAAGCAGGGAGGTTGTTTCCACTGGTGGGTGAAACCAGAACTAGAGGATATAGCCTCAAAATACTGGGGAGCAGATTTAGGACTTCTTCACTCAAGGTGTTGTGAACCTGTGGAATTCTTTGCACAGTGAAGCAGCTGAGGCTACCTCGGTGTATGTTTTTAAGGCAAAGATATATATATTTTTGAATAGTAAAGGAATTAAGGGTTATGGTGAGCAGGTGGGTAAGCGGAGTCGAGTCCACGAAAATATCAGCCATAGTCTTACTGAATGGCAGAGAAGGCTCGATGGGCCAGATGGCCTACTCCTGCTTCTAGTTATGTCCTTATGCTGTTTTCAGTAATAGCTATGAATATCAACTCTCATTTGCCTATGCATGCCCTCAACTCACCTGTGTGTTATTTATCTGGCTCCTTGCACTGAAATATGTGCCATTAATCTTGATAAAAGTACTTCTTTCTTATCTAGTATATGCTCCCTGTGGCTTCCAAACTCGCTAGCACTTTAACTTCTCATTCAATCTCAGCTTCTTTGCCCTTTGAACTATTAGTCAGGATTTCATACCCCTGCTAAAATCACTCAAATAGCATTAGGAAACCTCCTGAGGGGGTGTTGGTCCTGTTGTGACCATACATGCACAAATTATAACTACAGTATTTCAAGAGCATATTTGTTTATTCCTGTTTTTCAAAGCTCATACAGAAACTTCATTTTTATATGTACATATATAAAATATCAGTATTTGTATTTATCACATTTCAAGATCAGGACTTTGCATTTTCTTACTAACTATACTAATACCTCATATATTCCAATATATTTAGTCCTGAATTATAAAGATGATCTATTCCCTGGTAAGATTTTTTAAAAACTTGAAAAAATGCTGGTTTATATTCATGCTTCAGAAATGCTACCATAATTTAGAACTCATGGTAAATGCTACTTCACCAACTTGCATTATATGGTTTAAAGTAAAGCAATTTGTAAGTAGTTCATCTGGAGGCAAGGACCGAAACAGATGTTTTCATTTGCTAGCATCAGTTGATCGCTGGATTAACATTCAAAAGACATAGCTTTTTATACTGACTACCAAAGTAGACAAATGGTACATTCCAAATTGCACTAGGAAAGAGTTCAAAATATAAAAAAAAACCAACAGAGACTGTTGCTTTGTGTATCTCTTAAACCAAACATTTTTATCTACTCAATAGGTTAATAGCATTCATTTACACAACAGACATCATCACACAAACACAGCAACTTGCAATACCTATTGACAAATTTTTTAAAATTCCTGATTACTAAAATGTGGTTAAAAATATACATATTGGAACAGTGACAATTCAAACTTAAATACATTGATGAATGAATAATGGTAAATCATTTTACAAGATTAGTTATTCTTGAAATTTTGTTGAATAACATTTCAAAGCCACTGGACAAGGCAACTCAGTTTTCCCTATTACATTAAAAGAATTGCATTCTCAGAACACAGATCACTCTGCAGTTTCTGTTCCAGAAACTCTGTCCACCAAAGTAAAATTTGTTTTCAAACAACCCTGAATAGATTTTTGGGCCAAGTCCAAAGTAATTGAAGGCCTTTAATATCACAGGCACAGGGTATAAAAAGTGGTTTTACTGTGTATTCACCAGTCTGGCCAGTTATTTTCTTCACAGGTTGATCAATTCTCTTCAGACTTGGGATTTCTGCTGAAAGGACCATCTTTAATATATTTCACTGTCAGCAATTCTGGCTCTGCAAATTTTAAACTCTGGAAAGAATACACAAATTAAAACAGTTACATACTATTTTAATACAAGTTAAAACTATTACATATACATAACCACACACAACATATAGCTATGATCTTGTGTGAACATTATCAATGACAAGTCAAATTGACAGAAGGCTTTACCTTTAATCTTTGCTCATGTTAAGGTGTTGACAGGAAAGACATTTCAAGAACCATATTAAGCTACTTTGAGACATTGTACTCTAATTTAAAACTTTAAAAAACAAGCTTTTGAATTAAGACAATCAACAGTCATTCTAAATAGGATGCCTACCATTTGCAATGACAGTTATCTATTATAACCCATTAGTGACATGCATGCTACTTCTGATTAGACTTTAAATTTTCTTCAATAAAACTGAACAATTGGAATCTAATTTTAAAAAGCTATTTGCCTTAGTTCAAGTTCTGAGATTGAGAAGCTCAATTTTAGGTGCACAGTAAAAAGCAAAAAGTTATTAGTAGACTATGTTATGCTGAGGATGGCAATATGACATATCACTGTTCCCAAACAAAACTGTAGAGGCAGAGAGTGTTCCTCCACTTGAGCCCTCAGAGTTACTTCAGTTTATTTAAGTATTAAACTGGAAATTAGCATTATGTCAAGTATTATTATACTTTACAGACTCTTAGCCACAGACTACAATTTTCTCTAAAGAAAAAAAAAAGGTTCAGGAATGACCAGATGGAAGAGTTTAAGATAAGGTAGATTAGCAAAAATCTTTTTATTTGTAAGCGCAACTTCTTTATCCAAAGAGTGGTTAGATTATGGAACTCTTCCACATAGAGCAGTTGAATCTCATTCTGAAGATGAATTTAAGGGGACATTAGATAAGCACAAGCAAGAGAATGGTGGGATGAATAGGACTGGGAGGAAGCTTGGGTGCAGCATGAACACCAGCATATATTAATTGGCCTCTGTGCTTAGACTGAATGCAAACACTAAAAATACACTGGCCATGGTTAAGAGAGCAGGGAGTGAGTATTCCGAAAGAAAAAAATACAGAAGATAATGTTGGATGGACAGAATTCACTGACATTTAACAAAATGACAATTGTAATACTGATGTAGAAGGAGCTACTACTAATATGGTGTTACAGTAATGTTAATTATGGGCACAGACATGGAACAATTCCAACACAAATAGTGCAACTTCAAACTAGACCAATGCTGGTTCCACCTCACCCAACAGGACCATGCTACAGGCTATGAAATTTGCATTCACAGCTTATATACGGAATGCAAACTTTTATAACAATTGCAATGTTTGGTGGAATGGAGGAACACTTCTATTAGTCAGAATATCATCTAATTGTTGGAGTATTCTTCTCAAGCAAAAGTGGCTCCAGAAATTTCTAGTGCATGTTAATTGACTAAACTCCATTCATTACAATTTAACATACACCACACATTAAGGTTACAGGGAGAAGTTTGGAATATTCATCTGAAATTCTTCTAGCCTCAGCGGTCTGAACCAATGTTCTCAACAGTTAGTATTTCCATAAAACAATGTTTACATATCATAAATTGTAATCTTATTTCAATGCTGTTTTACTTCCTGCTGCACTTAATAACATAACATACATCAGAATAAAGGAGGTTTACCTTATAATTACATTGTAGTGGCCTGGCGTGCTAAATTTTAGTTCCTTTCCTTTTCCTTTTTACATAGAGCCAGATACAATAAGCTCAGTTCCATAAAAGCAATCTTCTTTAAAAAGCAGATTAGTAAGTTATTTGGAACACTAACCTAAATGCAACAATTCCAAGAAAGCATGTGAACTGCAGTCAAATGACTGGGAGAACTCTCATAACCTTAAAGGATGCTTAAACTGCCAAGCTTACAATAGACTAAAAAAGCCATTGTTTAGTTTTGACTTCACTTCAGAACGCTCAAAAAGTCCTGGTACAGAAGAACCCAATGTTCAGTTCAGAAAGGAGGAAGCACTACCTAGTCGAAGTAAGTTTTAGTTGGAAGGAATCAGGAACTATAATCGTACAGTCAAAGGAGTTACACAGCATGGAAACAGGCCCTTAGGTCCAACTCATCCATGCTGACCGGATATCCTAAATTAATCTAGTCCCATTTGCCAGCATTTGGCCCATTTCCCTCTAAACCCTATTCATGCATACATCCAGAACCCTTTTAAATGCTGTATAGTTGCTACATGACATCCCAACTCCTATACTCCATGCACTGACCAATGAAGGCAAGCGTACCAAATGCTTACTTCACTACCCTGTCTACTTGCGACTCCATTTTCAAGGAACTACATACCTGCACCCCAAGGGGGTTTTAGTTTGAGAAGCTTTGAAGCCAGGGGAAACTGAATAGAAATTTTCATATTGCTTGAATCAATAAAGTTTAAGTAAGATTGTGAAAGGTTTATGCCAGCAGTCCTAGAAAAGAATCAGAAAACTGTATCTGCAACTTAAAAGACGACACAGGGAGGAGTCAGTTAAGTGAAAATGTAAAGTTGAGATAGGAGTGAAGTTTCTCTGGAATGAAGTATCTGGGAGATAGACTGAAACATTGGCAATGGATATAACATAGGAAAATGTGAACATTTTGCAGAAAGAATAGAAAAGCAGCATACTATTTCAATGGAATAAGATAGCAGAACTGGGGGGGGGTACAGAGAGATCGGGATGCCCTGACGCACAATCATAAAAGGTTATTAAATAGGTGCAGCAAATGACTAGGAATTTAAAAGAAATGTGGATGTTTATTTCATGGAGAGTGGAATATAAAAGTAGGGATGCTTAGCTTCAGCTGTTTGGGCATTAATGAGACTACAGCTAGTATATTCTATACAGTGCTGGTTTATTTATTTGAAAAAAGTGTGCAATTGTTGTGGAAGTTGTTTGGAGAAGGTTTAATCAACTTATTCCTGGGGTGAAGGGTTTATCTTATGAAGAATGTTAATCAGGTAAATCTAGTATGGCGTTAGGAAAGAAAAGTAATCTTAGCGAAACACAAGATCCTGCGGGGATTTAATGCGGAGAGATTTTTTAAAAAAAAATTCACTCATTGCTGGTTGGGTCAGCATTTATTAATCACCCCTAATTGCCCTGGAGATGTGGTAGAGAATTGCCTTCTTGAGCTGCAATCCTTGGGTAATAGGTAGACGCACAGTGTTGTGAGGGAGGGAGTTCCAGGATTTTGATTCAGCAACACTGAAGGAAAATTGATTTATTTTCAGGTCTGGTTGGTGAGGGGTTTGTAGGAGCACTTGTAGCTGGTGATGGTCCCACGTAACTGCCGCCACCTGTTCTTCTTGATTTTAGACATTACCTTTCAAACCAATGACCACTAAGTAGTCTTTATGAATTTCTAAAGTACATCTTGTAGGTAGTACACATTGCTGCTACTCAAACATCAATGGTGGAGAAAGTGAAGACCGAAGATGATGGATATCAGTTGATCAAGTGAGGCTGCTTTATCCCAAATGGTGTTGTGCTTTTTGAGTGCTGGTGTCATTCCATCACACTCCTGATTTGTGCCTTGGAGATGGAGGACAGGTTTTGGGGAATCAGCAGGCAAGTTACTCAGTGCAGGATTCCTAGCCTCTGACTTACCCTTGTAGCCATGGTACACGTGTCTTGTCCAGTTCTGTTTCTAGTCAATGGTAACCCCCAAGATGTCGATAGTGGGAAATTCAGTGAAGGTGATGCCATTGCATGTCAAGGGGCGATTGTTAGATTCTCTCTTAATGGAGATAGAAACATAGAAAATAGGAGCAGGTGAGTGTCTTTCGAGACTTTGAGCTTGCTTTGCCATTCAATATGACCATGGCTGATCATCCAACTCAGTACCCTTCGCCCATTTTCTCCCCATATCCATTGATCCCTTTAGCACCAAGAACTACATCCTTCTTGAACACATTCAATGTTTTGGCCCCAACTGCTTTCTGTGGCAGACAATTCCACAAGCTTACCACTCTCTGGGTGAATAAATTTCTCCTCATCTTTGTCCTAGGAGGCCTACCCCTTATGCTTAAAGACTATTGCTCCTGGCTCTGGACTCCCCAAAACATCCTTCCTGCATCTACCCTGATGGTCACTGCCTGGTACATGTGGCATGATTCAGTCCAAGCCTGGACACTGTCCAGATCTTGTTGTATTTGGACACGGATTACTTCAGTATCTGAGGAGTCATGAACTGTGCTGAACATTGCGCAATCATCAGCGAACATCCCCAGTTCTGACCTAATGATAGTGGAAAAGTCATTGATGAAGCAGCTGAAGATGGTTAGATTAATGACACTATCCTGAGGAACTGCTAGAGGTATCAGGGAAAAGGTGTTGAGACACAACCAGATTCATGATCTTATTGAATGGCAGAGATAGCTCAAAAGGATCGAATGACTTAATCCTTGTCCTAAATTCTATGGTTTCAGCAACTCTTAACTTCTGCTTTAATTTCTAAAGGTCAATAACAAGATTAAAAATTGGTGTTTCCTCTATTCACCAATATAAAATGAAATTTTGGTAATTACCATCATTCTGTTAAAATGTGGCCACTGGTCAGTATCTGACCTCCACTATGAAATACAAATGTGGTATTGAAAGAAGAATTGAGAACAGAAACACCTCAGGTACAATAGGCAGTGTTTCTTCAAATTATTTCAAAATTCAGAACTGAAATTGAGTTAAGACTTCTGCCAGCTAATTTGCATTTGTGACCAAATTTAAATGGGAGCATTCCCTTTAAAAAAAACCTAAGCTTATGCAATGATATATGCAACGTTATGCAAAAAGCTTTGCTACCTGTCTTTCTTTAATCTTCAGAGTTGCCAAGTTACAAAAAGGAGAAAAATAAAAATTTGCATTTTTATAAATTTATCACAGTCATGGAATATCTCCAAGAGCTTTACTGTCCATTAATACTTTTGAAGTGTTATCACTGTTGTAATATAGGAAACACAGCAAATTCCCATAAACAGCGATGGGATAATTACCAGAAAATGTGTTTCTGAGATCCTGGTCGAGGAATATATATATTGGCAAAACCATCAAGATGAACTCCCTGCTCTTCTACAAAGAGTGTGCCATGGGATACCTGAACATCCACTTTTTTTATTCATTTGTGGGACGTGTGCGCCTCTGGCTAGGCCAGCATTTACTGGCCATTCCTAGTTGCTCAGGGGCAGTTAGGACTGAACCAAACTGATGTGGATCTGGAGTCACATGTAGGCTGGGCTAGATAAGAATGATAGTTTCCTTCCCTAAAGGACATTAGTGAGCAAGCAGATTGGACCTCAGTTCAAATTCTTATCCACAACAGTTCCAACTCCCTCAGTACTACAGTTACAGTCTTGATTGTGATGCTCAAGCCCAGTAGTGGGACTTGAACATATGATCTTGTCTGTTGAATCACAAGTTTCTAAGTCACACAACACCAGGTTATAGTCCAACAGGTTTATTTGAAATCATCGGTTTTCGGAGTGCTGCTCTTTCATCAGGTGAAGTCACTTATGACCTTGTCCACCCCGGTCCAATACCTCCACATCAACAGACAAGAGAAATACCAAATAAGGCTAGACTGACAGCTGTTAAGGTTGACCGTAAAAACAAAAGGAACTTTACCAATTTAAGAAATGTTGCATTTGATGAATGACTTTCAAGGAAGCCTCCGTACCACTAAACGTTTTCCTGTTTAAATTAGGTAAGCTATATGCTCTCAAGCTTTGAAGGAAAAAGATTGCTAGTAACATTCATGCCAGATGACATCTATGATGAGAACAGGCAGATGCCTGGTTTGGGGCACTTGTTAAAATGAGAACAAAGCCAATAAAAGGTTGCACTGACCTGTCACTTCACACCTTTTACCTTCAAGGGAAATGGTCGCTGAGCCATCTAGCCAGTCAAATGTGAGCAACTCTTCCTGATTGCACAATTGAGAAAAGTAGCCAGGATAATAGGTTGAATCTTTCTTTCTGATATTTGTAATGAGTTTGTTCCAATAGTTTTTGTCTAGTCTGGGGAGGTGATGGTACATTGTAATGTTACTAGACTAATAACCCAGAAAGCCAAGTTAATGTTCTGGGGACACAGGTTTGAATTCCATAGTGGTAGATGACAAAATTTTAATTCAATAACAATCTAGAATTAAAAACTAGCCTAATAGCAACCAAGCAACCATTGTTGATTGTTGTAAAACTCACCTTGTTCACTAACGTCCTTTAGGGAAAAGGAAATCTGTTGTCCTTACCTGGTCTGTTCTACATGCTACTCCAGACCCACAGCAATGCAGCTGACTCTTATTAGGGAAATTAGGGAGGGCAATAAATACTGGTCCAGCCAGTGACACCCCTATTCCATGAACAAATAATAAAATGTTGTGTAATTCTTTTAGTGAAATAAATGTTGGCATTCTTTGTTAGAAATAAACTAGCAGCCTATTGTGATTCTGTTCAGTCATTCACCTGCAAAGTTAAAAAAAAAAAACTTCTCTCAGAGCCAGGTTTTACTCTCGAATCAGACTTGTCTAGCAGTACCATCAGCTGGATCATAACAATATTCAGGGATAACAAGGTGTAGAGCTAGATGAACACAGCAGGCCAAGCAGCATCAGAGCAGCAGGAAAGCTGACGTTTCGGGTCTGGACCTTTCTTCAGAAATGGCCCCGACCTCATAGCAATATTCATTTACTTATGGGTTTATTTATACGGATGGAGGAAAAACATTATGCATAATCAGCTTATCAGGGAGAGAATCGGATATTATTTAACGTCATAACCGTACCAACAGCAACACTCGGGACTTGTTCCTCTCTGGATGTAGAGAAGACACTTGATTTGAAAGTTATGTAATTGAACTGATGAAACAAGAGGAGTCTTTGATAAATTATTCAGCTATTGAATCAAAAATTCTCTCATGCCACAATACCAAAGACCTCAAATGGTACTATAATTCCTCTCCATGTAGGAAACAGATAGAATCTCCACTATTAACCCAGGTATTGGCTGCATGTGAAGGAGAAGCATGCACCCATACAATACAGGCAGAAAGGAAATTGCACAAGGTATTTGAAAAAACTGATGCAACATAACAATCTTAATCTCAGCAGTTTTTAAAATATCAAAGAAATTTGCTGACTCGGTATAAGATCACCGACTTTATCACCTAGCTCACATGATCTCCATGTGGTCAGTAATGGGTTTTAAATAGTTAGGTGTGTAACAAAACATATAACCCTTTACGTAGATGAACACAAACCTCAGCATCCTCCATTTTATGTAGCTTTTTTTCATCAGCTCAGTTCTCTTTTCAACTAGATTGTTTCAGTAATTTGCATTACAGGAGAGTACCTCCTTTATAGCATATCCATTTTGAATATGAACGATTGCGTCCTCAAAGCCAATAGTATCTTGAGGTCCAGCAGTTCAGTATCAGCTCTTACTGCTTTGAATAAGTTGAAAATGACAACCTATAAAACTTTAAAAAGGGACTGTGCCTGACAACCTTAATTTTTGTTTAGAAAGTCATGATCCAAATCAACTCACTCGATCATTGAATCATGCAATTGAGTGACTATCAAAGTTAAAGTCAGCAGCCATGTGATAAGATGTAAGCAGAAGGTAGTCAGCCACTGGGAACCTAGGTCATAAGATCGAAGGGTGAAGAGTTTTGTATAGTTCAAGATCAGTTCAACATTCAAATTAGGAATAGTAGGCCATTTATGCCCTTGAGAGGTTCTGCTATTGGCTGATCAAATTGTGGTTTCAATATTATAGTGAGGCCCATTTAGTGATCCAAGTAGAAATTAATTTTAAAACAATAGTTTTCAGACTTGAATTTTTAACCTTTCAATAACAGCTTTAAGTAAAAATGAAACTTTCTTACTTAAAATTAATGACTAAAAAAGTCTTTGAAACTTACACATTCATTAATTTTTGATTTTTCTTATTATCCAAAAAGCATTTGATGCATGAAAACTTTAAAGCACTGGGAAAACTCCTTCTTCTACAAAGTGGAATTAGTCTTTAAACTCCACTTGAAATCATAAAAACATCTCTCCCTATGATTGATTCCTTAGGCACTCAATCCTCAGCAGGAATATGTGAAATGATACAACACAGGCATGTGTAGGTTGTGTGTCTATGTCCTAGGCAACTTGAACTTTGAAGTTTCTGAATCAGGCAAAAATGCTCACAGCCAAACTGATGACAGGACGTCTGCCTACAGCGGTATATGACAATCAAAAAAATAGCACTGCCTACATTATCAAACAGAACAAATGGAGAAGATATTCTCACGTGGCTCAAAGTGCAATCACATACATTTAAACTAAAAGGGTTAATAAAGTACCTTGGGAAGGATAGGGGAGAAGTTAATATTTGATTCTGCAAATGCTTTTTCCGCCATTAACTAAACAGACTTCAGATCAGTACATGAAGTCAGTTCCAACTACACATGGAAGCAATTGCATTCATCAAAGTGGAAGTATATAATAGTGAGGGAATGATTGTGCTCAAGTAAACTTGAGTACCTCTGGTAAATGGCAAAGTGAAGGAGGATGGCATGAGGTGGTCATGGTTAAACGTGCAGAAAGACTTTTGAACCTTTTTTTTCATCTAAGAATGACTGGAAATCAAAGGCAATTCATTGTTTACAATCAAGAATGAAATGTTAGGAGGATATGTTCATTTCATATTGAAGATCACGTGCAGCACATATTTTCAGCATTTTAAAATATTAATTTAATATACCCATTTCAAAACTGCCCCGTATATGGTTGGACACAGTAGTCAAGGAAAAACAAACATGCACAGCACAGTACTTTGAAAATTTAGCATGCGACAGCATTGCGCACTTCATCCAGAACAATTCAGACATTTACCAAACAAGCTTCACATGCAACAGCCAAGGCCGAAATTACATTCAAATGGAACGCATGTGTAATCATATGGAAGCGCCCCACACGAACAGTAATTAAAAACTGTGTGTAAAATTGAAGGCCCGTGGCTATTCAACTGTATGTAATATGGTGTGGTGTACTGTGCCACCATCTACCCTTGGTATAATGATAATATCATTGTACTTGTAATACAAAAGAACCAAGCTGATGCTCTAGGGACCGGAGTTCAAATCCCATCATGACAGCTAGTGGAATTTAAATTCAAATAATAAAATCTACAATGGTGACCGTTAAATTTTCCTTATTCGTCATATGACCCGTCTGGTTCATTAAAGTCCTTAAGAAAATTTGCAATCCTTCCTTGGTTTGGCTTATTTGTAGCTTCAGACCCAGAGCCATGTGGTCACCTTTTAATTGACCTCTGAAATGGCCTTGTAGGTCACTCAATTCAGGGGCACTTAAGGATAGGTAACAAATGCCCACATCCCAAAGAAAATAATTAACTGTTTTCCACAATACAAGCATTTATCCTTAACCTGCTTATAAATATTCAGGATCATAGCTAACAAAGAAAAATATCAAACTAATCCGAACTAAACAGAAGATCAAACTAGGAGATAACCACCAAAGTACCTGTACCTGTCAGTGGTAATCATGATTCAACTGAGAATGATCTTGCAAGAAGTGGTTCGACAGGGGATCTGGGGGTCGACACTGTATCAGCAGCCTTGTTATAGACCAAATATTTCTGCAACAATGAGGGGAGAAACTTAGAACACTTGCGTAATGCATGATGTAGTTACTATCAGGGAGCTTAAAATCTCTTCTCAGAAAGGAATACTCAGGTCTTAGACTTGCAATGAAAGTAACAACACAAACCTTTAGTAATTATATAAAGCTGAGTTGTGGGCAGACTTATTTAGAATATAATTTGCATTATGTTGCTTCTATAAATTATTCAATATGAAGATAGTGGAATACACCAGTTCATCTGTATTAAGCAGTTCATCCCAATATTTTGAACCCAGAAATTTAAAATCTACACTTGGACACAATAAATTTTAAACTTTTGTCAATAAATAGTTTCTCCATTTCTGAACCTATTGACTTTCGGAAGGAATACACATCACCCAAGGGGATGAGTGTATCAGAGCCTGACCCACTTTTCATTCTGGTAGAGTTCAATGATTAGAGATCAACAGTTAGAGCTTTCCCTCATTTCAGTTAGGACATCTAAGGCAGGAAGAGCCTAACGATGGACTCAAATTAGATAGTTAAGCACTAACTGGACAATTCTAGTTCCTTGCATTAGGTTAAGTGTTTTCAAGGGAAGACATTCACCCATGTGGCATTGCTTTCAGGCCTACCTCATTTCCCTTAAACAGGAGACAGTGGTGGGGTCCACTACCTCATGATATATCATCATTACAAAACATATATACTGCACAGGCAACAGTCTGTGGCATTGCCTGCACGCCTGCACTCAGGAAATCTAGGGAAGTCTACAAAGATGCATCACTCCCCAGATAATAAAAATAATTCACAGAAGCAAAAGCCCTGAACTATAAAACAGCATATCATTACAAGCTGGTTCATGAGGATCTCTTGCCATATCCACTTGCTGATGGATGGCATGGTTAGGAAGTATCATTTAATGCTTGACACTTCAAATTCCTGGAGAGTTATCAGCATTACTGCCTTTGCAAAATGCTGTAAATCCACTGGCAAGATTGATGTGCCAACATTACCATTCTCTCCCAGATCAAGATCCTCAGATTCGACCACAGACAACAAGTTGCCATGGGCAGGCCACAAATTCTGCATACCCAACACAAGACTCCCTAACAAGTGCTTTACTCTGAACCCCACAATGTTAAGCAATCACTAGGAGGGCACAGAAAATGCTACAAAGACACCCTGAAAGCCTCCCTAAACAAATGCAACATCCCCACGGACATGTGAGAATCACGTGCCCTAGAACACACAAACAAAAGAAGCATCTGAAGGTGCCAACCACTTTGGGCGTCACGGAGTGGTGCAAGTGGCGGCTACAAGTAGCGGAAAGAGCACACAGAATCCAAAGGGTCCCACAGACCCGCCTCATCAAACACCATCTGCCCCACCTGTGGCAGAGTCTGCAGCTCCAGGTTTGGCCTCTTCAGCAGAATTCCTATTTCACCCGACCCAGAGTGCAAGCAAGTCACCTTCAGCACTGAAGGACTGCCAAAGGAGGAGGAGTTGGAGTGATTCTATACGTAGCACGTGATGCTGTTGATCTAAAGTTTTTGATAAGATTTGTAGCTCAGGTTGTGGATGAGGTTGTAGATTGCTCATCGAGCCAGTGTGTTTGGTTACAGACACTTTATCACCCTGCTTCACCGGAGGCGCACCGATGATGTTATCTAGCAGGGTGACAAAATGTCTGCAACCAAACACACCAAGACAGTGAGCAAGTCTACAACCTCATGCTCTTGATCTGTTTGCAGTCACTCGGCAATGGCAAGAATTGCAGATGCTGGAGTCAGAGTCAGTAAAGTGTGGAGCTGGAGCAACACAGCAGGTCAGGCAGTATCAGAGCAGCAGAAAAGTCATTTCGGGTTTACACCCTTCATCAGGACCGGGGAGGGGAAAGGGAGCTCTATTACCCCACCCCTGATCACCAAACCATCATCTCCCAGACCATCAATAACATCATCACCTCAGCAGGCCTCCCACTTACAATCTCCAACCTCATTTTTCCACAACCCTGCACTGCCCCGTCTCTGCCTGCTCCTACCTCACTGAACTCAGCTCCATTTCTCCGCCAACCCCTGTCCAGGAACTCCCCACCTACGTTCAGGACACTACCCACACCCTCCACCTCTTCCAATGCTTTCAATGTCCGGCCCCCAGCAACTCATCTTCACCAAAGGCATGCATTCCCTGCACACCTGTATTCCCCCGCAGATGGCCTAAAAGCTCTCCGCTTCTCCCTCTCTCAACCAAACCCGCTACACCGATCCACCTAATGGAACTTGTCCTTACCCTCAACAACTTTTCCTTTAGTTTGTAGGAAGTGCAAGAGTTAAACGGGTAGCTATGGGTACCCATATAGGTCTGAACTATGGGTACCCATTTGGGTGCGAACTATGCCTGCAGTCTCTCTTCCGCTGTTACTCCAGCACCACCCCTCACCTCTTCCTCCGCTACATTGATGACTGTATCGGCACTGCCTCGTGCTCCCATGAGGAGCTTGAACAGTTCATCAATTTTACTAACACCTGTCATTCCAAACTCAAATTCACCTGGACTATCTCCCTCCCCTTCCTGGGGCTCTCCATCTCCATCCCCGGTAACCGTCTCAGCACCGACATCTATCTCAAATCCAACGACTCCCATAGCTACCTTGACTACACCTCCTCTCACCTTCCTGCAAGAACGCGATCCTTTACTCCCTATTCCTCCGTCTCCACTGCATCTGCTCCCAAGATGTAGTTCCACTCCTGGACATCCCAGATGTCCTCCTGCTTCAAGGACGGCAACGACCCCCCTCTGTTGATTTATAATGCCCTCAACCACATCTCTTAATTTTGTGGGGGGGGGGGGGGGGGGGAAAAGAGGTTTTGAGGGCAGCAGTGCAGGGAAACTAAGGACAAAGACCTTCTGGTCCTCACATACCATCCTACCAACCTCCGCATCCAGCGCATCCTCAGCCACCTGCAATCCAACCCCACCGAGATATTTCCTACCTCACCAAAGAGATAATTCCCTCCCCAACCCTATCTGCCTCTTGTAAAGACCACTCCCTCATCCACTCTACACTCCCCACCACATCCGGCACCTTTCCCTGCAACCGCAGGAGGTGCTACACCTGCCCCAACATCTCCCCTCTCACCTTTGTCCAAGGCCCCAGACAATCTTTCCAAATCTGACAGCGTTTCACCTGTACATCCTCCAACCTTGTCTCCTGTAGCTGTTGATCCCGATGTGGCCTCCTCTACATCGGTGAGACCAAGCGCAGACTCGGTGACCAATTCGTGCAGTACCTGCACTCTGTATGCTATAATTAACAACATCTTGTTGCTAACCATTTTAACTCCCCCTTCCACTTCCTTGGTGAAATGTCCATCCTGGGCCTGCTCCAGTGTCACAATGACGTACACACAAACAACACTTCATATTCAGGCTCATATACAGCCTGATGGCCTCAGGATAGAATTCACCAATTTCAATTTTTCCCCACCCCCAGCCTCATCCCATTTCCAAACCTCCCTCTCACCCCTGCCTCCTTGACCTGACACAACCTGTCCATCTTCTTTCCCACCTATCTGCCCCACCGTTCCTACTGACCAATCTCCACTACCCCCTACCTGCATCCACCTATCACTGTCCCACCTACCTTCCCCCAGCCCCAACCTCCACCCTCTACTTATTTCCGAGATCCCTTACCCCTCCCCAGTCCTGATCAGGGGTGTAAAACCAAAACGTCGACTTTCCTGCTTTTCTGATGCTGCCTGACCTGCTGTGTTCCTCCAGCTGCACATTGTATTTATGCTGTTGATCTGTACTTGGTTGTAGATGCAATGGCCAAGAGCTGCTACTCTGCTTCTGAACTGGCCTTTTTTTTGCAAAGGTTGAAATAATTAAGCATTTTTTCATTCAAGTCTTCATCTACAAATTTAGACAGAGCATTTGAATGAAAAGTAGCTGGCCTCCAATTTACGAGTTGTAGAATTTCCAATGTGTTTTTGCTACCATATTTCAATCTTTGGTTTTGGCTTTAGCTAGTTAACTACTGAGTTTGGATTTATATCAAGGACAAATAAATACAAACAAGTTTTAGATTAAGTATAATTAAGAACAGAAAACACGTGTTATCTTATTATTCTTCTACTTTTGTCAAATCCTGCATTAAGTGACATTTCTTAGTAGAAGTATTACACATACATCAGGATAAAAACTGAAAGAACTGCAGATGCTGTAAATCAGAAACAAAAACAGAAGTTGCTGGAAAAGCTCAGCAGGTCTGGCAGCATTCCTCAGATCTGAGGAAGGGCCACCGGACCAGAAACATTAATTCTGATTTTTTCTTCACAGATGCCTCCAGACCTGCTGAGCTTTTCCAGCAACTTCTGTTTGTGTTCCACATGTACTTCAGGGTTCAATGAAGGGACCTGATCACCTCTGGATGCCAGTGACAAAAGAAACATGGTTTTTCATTACTTGCAAGTGTGCTCAGCTGGCACAAATTAAATTCACTGACAGACCGCAGAGTCTCCAAACCTTATTACTGGAAATAGGTAGTGCACTCGTTGTTCAAATAAGCTATCTCAATTATCCAAGACCAGAGACCTTGGATACAAGCTGCCAAGAGCCAAACCTTTCGGACACTCCCAATAGTTGAAGGACATTGTCGAAAGTTTAAGTTGCTAAAGTTCATGCAGCCTAAGTGCAGAGTGTACTAGGAAGCTGTAAATATTTTAAGTAATCTACCAGTGTAAGCAATTGTGAAATTGAGTGGCAAGAATCCTGTCTCTAGTTTCCAGTCTCTTTACTTGAATCATAACAAGCCACACTGACCAGCCAATCATGAAGAGTGCCCTCAAACTGAGTAGCTCTTCCAGATTAGATCTAACTCTTCGAGTCTCGGAGAGACAGTGAACACAGATTTATCTTCCTCTCAGGAATATACGACAGCTAGTTATTAAAAAAAAATGCATTCTTTTCCCTGGCAATCGTCTGAAATTAAACGAATTTGATGAAATAACTGTTTGCATTAGGATCAATAGGTGAGCTGTTGACCCCATATCAATACCTTCACAACGACTGCCCATTTCTCACTCCATAACATGGCCAGCTTCATGCCATCTCAGCTTAGCAGCTGCTGAAACCCTCACTCATGCCTCGATTACTTCTAAACTGGACTCTTTCAATACACAAATGGATGGCTTCCTCCATTCTAGACTCCAAAAATTTGAAGTCATTCAAAACTCTGCAACCTGTGTACTTACATGCAAGCCTGCAGGTCAGTCTCCAAGTTCTAACACAAGTCAGTCCTCGATTTTGAAATTTCATTTTTATTTTCAAAGCCTTCCAATGGCCTCACCCATCCCTAACTTTGTAACTTCCTCTAGTTTAACAATCCTTTGAGGTGTCTTTGCTGTTCCGATTCTGACCTTGAGCATCCCCAATTTTAATCACTCCACCATAACTCAAGTTGTCTAGGCCCCTAACTCTCGAATTTCCTCTGACTCTTTATCTTTCTTCCTTGAAGGTGTTGCATTAAAACCTATTACTTTGACAAAGTTTTAGGCTATCTGCTTTATTATTAGTTTATGTGGCACAGTGCCTAATTTTACTTTTTAAAACCTTCTGTGAAGCATCTTGGGATATTTTAAGGTGGTGTATAAAATCCAAGCTGTTGTTGTGTAAATTTAAGCTCTTGTTCAGAGAATTCCAGGTACTATTAATTCCTTAGTACAAATATGGGGAATTGTACAATTAATCAAAATGTGAGAGCAATGTCACCAAACCCTTGACCACAGCAGAGATAAGAAACTTAACATATCCAAGTGTGATTCCACTATTTAGAGGTGTGGGCCTTGAACAGCAGTAGCCACTCATTCACAATGGCAAGCAATGAACTGCAAGTTTAATATCCGGATTAAATAGAGCACTTTCTACTAGCTGTGTTCCTTAGTCTGAGTTTTCACAGTAGTTCAACCCAGTATTCACAATTTAACTTTGGGCTGTATGCAATATCCCATTCATGACCTTTTCATTTTAGTACTGGTGAACAAGGGAACAGTTTTCTTGGTCATATTCAATCAGAGTACTGTTGAGGTAAAAACTGAAAGAACTGCGGATGCTGTAAATTAGGAGCAAAAACAGAAGTTGCTGGAAGCGCTCAGCAGATCTGGCAGCATCTGTGAAGAAAAACAAAAAATCAGAGTTATTGTTCCGGGTCCGGTGACCCTTCCTCAGAACTGCCAGACCTGCCGAGCTTTTCCAGCAACTATTGTTGAGATACATCTAACAACAATTAATAACAACTAAATATTATCTGCCGAGTAATACATGCTTTGAAAATCATAATAAAAAGTATTTTAATTAAATATTTAGACAGATAGGTCAAGAATCCGGCCTTTGTTATGCACAGCATATATTTTTTCAATCTAAATCAACAGAAATAAGAGTTAATTGCAGTGTTTGTACTGTCTTACATTAAAAAAAAACTTAACCATACACTAAATAGACTGTTAGTGTGAGGTGAGAATAGCAAAGCAAATAGCCAAGCACATACAATAACAAGGCACATATAATTAACATTGAACATGCATTTAAAAGATATTGTAAATAACTAAAATGTAGTTATGCCATAATCGGCATTCATTTCCACCTTCCCATCGGGATGACCGAGTAAATAAACTACAAACCCAATTTTAACAAAACCCTCTGACGAAATACAATTTTTCACTTCTCATTTTTATGTAGCTCAAAGTTCATCAAGGCATGTATCACCTGGTGGAAAGTACATGGTAAATACATTAAAACACTGAACTAAATGTTAGTGTTAATTGGATGCTGTTCTCATTTGGCTCAGTGTTAACAGGCAACATATCCTAGAAAACGAAGGTAGGAATCCTTGCAACAATCCATCAAACAAAGTCTGTTTCTCTGGGGTTACTGATTACACTGCTTATAGAACAGAATGCTTAAGTTTAGTTTTCTTATAATGTGGGTTCAGTCCATGAGTAGAGTGACAGAATTTAACTTTATCATCAGTTTATAGATTCAGTTTCAACTAAAATTATAGGTATGCCATCAGGTTGCAAGGGACAGATTTACAATTACAAATACCATGATTCGCTCCACAGATGGCAGGCTCTCAGAACCAGTGTTAAAATACACAAGCAGCTTTAGTTCACAAGAAATATCCATTGGTCAATACTTGAAATAAACTCATGGTAAGCAATTTTAGAAACTCGAGGCGTTTGTATATTCGTTAAAAACATGCTCAAGATATCAGAGATGTGCACCTAAATGAACGTGAGTACACATCAAATCTACCAAAATAGAATGGAATAACAAACAGGTTGCACATGCTAGATAAAAACGTACAAGTTACACACAAAACAAGAAATCACCTCAATCACTCCAAGAGAAACTCTGGTTGCTGGAAGTTTGGGAGAGCATAAAGACCGTTGACTGTCTGGAAGAAGGCAAGTGTTGTCTTGCCTGGTTCATAGCAGAAGGTGGGTGGGGAAGGAATAGAAAGTGGAAAGGAGATTAACAGAAGTATTTTAGGCAAGAGCACAAATTTGAGATGTTAAAGAGGAAAGGAAAAGGAAGATAAGCAAAATATGGTTTGAGTGTTTTTTTAATTCAGTTTTTAAATGTCAGAAAATTTTTAAATACCAACAGTCGCGTTTTATTTAGAACCCAGTGACTGAAGAAAAATTAACATTAATTTTCACCTCATTTAATATTTGGAGCATTATGATGTTTGGAGCATATCTTACCTTTTAAGGACTGGCTACTCTGAAGATTTTAATAAATCAGTAAAATCCAATCATGCGTATATTATTTTCATTTGATTAACATATTTAGCTTTATATATTAAGTCCAATAGCCAATAGAAGCAAATAAAAGCAAATTACTGTGCATTCTGGAAATCTGAAAAAACAACACAAATCCTAGAAAGGTGAACTCACCACAGTCTTACCAGATCATACGGTTGCTCTCTCATTATAGAGAAATGACTGATGGTGGCTTACCTGAGGGTCATCATGCCTCAGGTGAGGGGAGAGATTGAGAAGGAGAGTCCTTAATGGCAACCTCAGCTGAACCCAATTGAACCCAAGCTGTTGGCATCACTCTGCACTGCAAACCAGCCATTCAGTCAAATGAGCTAACTAACCCACACTGCTGGAAACACTTAGCAGCATCTGAGAAAGTATTTCCAGCACTTTGTGATTTCAAGTCATTAGAAGCCACATGAATTACTGAAATTACTGTGCTGAAAATTAGATACTACGGAAGAAACCAGACCAGGAAAAGCTAAATTCCTTGGCTCAAATACAACATAGCACAAATTTAGACTAGTGATTTTTTTTTCACCCTAGACCCCCTCCAAATAACTAGGAAGATGCGGTAATCTAGGTGCTCTAACTTTGAAGTTGTAGGCTTGCTAGCCGAGCCGATGGGTTTGGTTGCAGACGTTTTGTCACCTTGCTAGGTAACATCGTCAGTGTGCCTCTGGTGAAGTGTTGGTGTTCTGTCCCGCTTGTTGTTTATATGCCTCCGATTTGCTGGGGTGGTTGGTATTACTTATGATTCTGTTTATCAGTGGTTTGTATATCAGGTCCAGTTTAATGTGTTTGTTGATGGAGTTCTGGTTGGAACACCAGGGCTCCAGGAATTCCCTGGTATGTCCCTGTTTGGCTTGTGCTATTACGGATGTGTTGTCCCAGTCAATCTCATGTCCTTCTTTGTCCGTGTGTATTGAGATCAGTGAGAATTGGTCGTGTTTCTTGGTGGCTAGTTGGTGGTTGTGCATCCTTATTGTCAGTTTTCTTCCAGTTTGGCCTATGTAATGTTTTTCACAGTCTTTGCATGGTATGTTGTATATTACATTAGTTTTATTGGTTGTGCGTGTGGGATCCTTTACGTTCGTCAGTAGCTGTCACAGGGTGGTTGGTGTTTGTGGGCTACCCTGATACCTACGGGTCTGAGTAGACTTGTGATCATCTATCTCTGAGATGTCTCTGACCTATGGTAGGGTGACTATTGTGTCTGGCCGTGTCGCCTTGCTGTGGTCTGTCGCGGAGGTAACGGCAGATTCTGCTTTTTGAGTATCCATTCCGTTTAAAAACGGAATGTGCTCCTGTTCTGCTTTGCGCAGTTCAGGATTGCTGCAGTGTGTTGTAGCTCATTTGAATTATGTCCTAATGCAACTCTGTTTATGGGTGTTGGAGTGGTTGCTGGAGTAATTAAATATTTGGTCCACGTGTGTTGTCTTTCTGTATATGCCAGTCTGGAGTGCCCCATTGTTCTTACATTCTAGCATTATCCTCCAGGAAGAGTAGTCGGTTATTGTTCTCTTCTTCTTTTGTGAATTTTATTCCGGTGAGGATGTTGTTTATGCTTCAGTGGGTCCTGATCAGTCATGATCGTAGAAGTGGTAATGCAAATGTTAGAATGGACAGTGCTCCCCACTATACAGCCCAAACTCTGGATCTGCTATGTAGATGATGCTTTTGTGATTATTAAATGCACAAGACAAGAAGAAACGCACTAAAACATAAACATCCTCAGTGGAATAAAATTCACAAAAGGAAAAATAAGAGAACAATAACTGCCTACCCTTCTTAGACATAAAGCTAGA